CTGGGTTCAGGCAATTCTCCTGCCTCAGCCTCCTGAGTAGCTGGGATTACAGGCACGCGCCACCATGCCCAGCTAATGTTTTGTATTTTTAGTAGAGACGGGGTTTCACCATGTTGACCAGGATGGTCTCGATCTCTTGACCTCGTGATCCACCCGCCTCGGCCTCCCAAAGTGCTGGGATTACAGGCTTGAGCCACCGCGCCCGGCTCCTTGACTTCTCTTAAGTTAGTGCTATTAATATACCCATTTCACAGTGTAGGCAACTGAGACTCAGAGGGGTTAAGGGCTTTGCTTGAAGTCTCACGGCCTGAATTGAGCCCAAGGCTACTCACTCACAAGGCCTGGGTTCTTAATTAACCACAGCACTGTTAGTTTCCTAAACCAGGCGGGAACCCTGAAGCAAATAGGCTGTAGAAACAGCAGGGAAGTCAACACTGACGCAGGCAGTGGAATAGGAGAAAATGTTCTTTCAGAATTCAAGCCCTGTCATCACTCTGGGATCAGCAGCTCCTACTGACTCTTCCCTCAGAATCTTAGCCCCAGTTCAAAGGTGCCCTGCTCATGTGCCCCCAGAAGATGCTGCCCTCTGCTAAGGGCACACTTGAGGACTGGTGGGTGGCAGGCATCCAGCATCGGGGACCTCATAGGATCACCACTTCTCAATATTCCCCCTCCATAGTCTGCCAAACTCCCCAATGAAATTGCCTGCTTCTCCCCCTCCCCCTGGTTGACAGTCGCTACCTGTATGGTCTCGTTGTTAATGGCTTGATCAAACTGAAGTAGAAGTTCCTTGAGGACAGAAAGCACACCTTTTGTTTTTTAAAAAAAAAACCAGGGGGGAAATGATATACAGAGCCAGGTCTCAATTAACATTTATGGACAATTAAAGAGCATTAGGGGTCATTTTTTAGTTGTATAGCTCTTTAGCAGCTAGTATCCATCACACACTATGGAGTTTCCTTACATTTTCAACAAAGGATCCATTTATAATTAAAGCACCCTACAAATGAGTAGGGCATGCAGAGCTCAAAGCAACCTAATCCACCCTCATCTGCTTGCCTCAGGTTTGTGTCTGTGGTTGGAGTTTGGCTAGGATTCCCAGATGATGCATATCAGGTGGGAGCTGGCCTCGGGACAACCTGCTCCCTACTCCCCTGGACAGGGCGCCTCTCTCACACACTACCCCATTTCAAAGTCATTCTGGGAACAACCAGAAAGCCACACTAGATTTTTTTGTTGTTCTACCTGGCAGGAATGAATGTGAAGCTTGCCAGTATGCCTGGAACATATTTTGTTAAAAAATAATGCCCAATGCTAACTCTGATCCCTTTAATTCTTACAAAGGAAGGAACTACCTCCGAGCAGACATCTTGATAGGTATAACCACCAACAGCTTCTACTCAACTGATCTACGTTCCTTACAGATGCTGCTGCTGATAGTGACCTATTAAGCACTTGCTCGGTGGAAGCCCTTTGAATGCCCATTTGATCTTCCCAATTCCCTTGCAAATTCCCATTTTTCAGATGAGGAAACTAAGGCTTAGAGAATGAGACACAAGTCCAAGATCTCTCAGCTCAAAGGTGGCCAAGTGGGGATTTGAACTCAGTTCAGTCTGACTTCCAAATCCAAGTTCCTTTTACATTCTAGGGCTAACCCCAATTAAAGTGTAATCTCGCCCAATCCTTACCACCAGAGTGAAGGGGAAAAGGAACAGGATGGGTCGAATAATTTTAGCTGGAACTTTGGAATGTTCTTTGAAGCTTTGAAAAGAAACAAGATTTATGTTCTGAGGACAGAAATCTAGCTTTATTTTTTAAGCTGGCTAACATGTAGCACAGATTCATTTCCTATAACACATTAAAGCCAATTTTTATCTACTTAGTCTTAACATCTAAAATTTGGGTCCTATGCTCAATGTCCAAATTTCAAGTTTAGTTTGCAAGTGACTGTGTCAAACTTGGGAACTTATTGTAGAGTTCTGATCCTAGAAAACCCCTCAGAAACATGCCTTGTTCACTGTTTCCAAACTCTCTGTATTGCCATTACATTTTGCCATATGTACATATCACCTAAGCTATTATGTACTTAATATTTTCTTAATTAGTTGTTTTTTACTTACATAAACTTATTCTAAAAATAAACTCTATCACTGCTTTAAATGGAAAATCACTATCACCTCCCATAAACAGACACTAACTTTAAAAAATGAATGCTGAGGCCTACACTTATTTACACAGGGAAATTAGCAAGTGATGGGGAGGTGTTAAAGACACCCCAATCCCAAATGGAAATTTGACATAATCAGAAGGATCAAAGAGAATTTAAAAGGGAAAGTGATTATTTTGTGATTTGTTTTTTTAAGACTTGAGCTGTCCCAAGTGGTATGAAACCCACCTTCTGGGAAATAACGATCTAATCCAGTCCTCTCATTCCAGAAACAGACTCTGAAATACCAAGAAGCTGAGACTACCTTTGCCCTGTCCCCAGCTAGTTGGGAAGCTCTTGTAAGAACCAGCTTAGAAATAAATGCTCCATTTAAGAGACTTCCAAAGCAAGCTCCTGTTCTTTGATGTTGGTGCCAGAATCAAGCTTACTCTTCCAGGCCCTTAGAACCTGGGCATAAAGCATTTAGAGACTAATAAGAGAATGCAAGGTGTCTTTTCTGATGCTCTCTCCTTCAAAGCTCTCAGATAAGTCATCATCAAACATCTGAGGCGGAAGGAGGTGGAGGTGACAATTCATCATGCATCTGTGGCCTACACAAAAGAAACCATCAGTTTTCCCTCTTCTAACAGTTTATTTCCTTCTTTACAGTGGTTTCTGACTCCTTCCGCAAGATCACACCCAGGCGTCCCCAACACAATCACCAGCATGCCTGACTAGGGATGAGAAAATGAACCAAGACTGCCAAAACCTAACATGATACTGATGAGCCACTTCCACCGCTCCCCAACCCGTGTGAAGTCAAAAATTATAAACAGTCTTCCTCAGTGACCTTTAGCTATCTTCCCTGTATTTGCCTGGGGTCATTCTTGGCAAGGCTGTGTCACTTGGGATTATGAAATGTTAGTATGCCAACATAAGACAGCACACTTGAAATGGGAGCTTGCCCTGGCCTTAGGTTCAGAAAGCACCCACATGGAAGACTTGCCATTTTGCCCCATTGGCCATCAGGCCTACTGTCTTTCCACCACTAGCTCGGTCCCTTTTTCCTTCTGTAGCTTTTTCCTCCAGGAAGACTCCACATTTCCAAATCTGACAGTCTGTGGCAAGTCCTAAACATTTACCTTTCTTTTTCCCTTTTTACATTTATTTTTTTCAGAGTCCCGACACAGGCTTTCAGCTTTATTTAATTTAATCAGGTTGCCAACTTCTAATGGTATCTATAGAAAGAGTGCCCTCAGGAAATGCTATATTTCTTACTACTTATCACCTCTGCTGCAAACATTAGGTCTGCAGCGTTCAGAAAGACATCAGCCAAGAGTCGTGGCTCATGCCTGTAATCCCAGCATGTTGGGAGGCTGAGGCAGGATTACTTGAGCCCAGGAGTTCGAGACCAGTCTAGGCAACATAATGAGATCCTGACTCTACAAAAATTTAAAAATTAAAGGAAAATTAGCCAGGTATGGTGGCACATACCTGTAGACCTAGCTACTCTGGAGGCTGAGGTGGGTGGGTGGATTGCTTGAGTCTGAGAGGTTAAGGCTACAGTGAGCCATGATTGTGCCACTGCATTCCAGCCTAGACAACAGAACAAGATCCTATTTCTAAAACAAACAAATAAAACACCTTTATGTGTAGAAGTTTATATCTATCCATTCCTTGTGGGCTTTTCGTTTTAACAGTGATCTCACGTTGAATTTAAAGTAGGGCCTTGCAGTTGGAGATTACTCTGCACGGTGTTCTGGATAACTTTAATGGGGTTCACTTAGAACATTCCCCAGAGAGACAGTGCTGCTTATGACCTACACAGGACCATGACTGGCTTAAGCCAACATCGTGGCATACCAAGAGGTCAAGGCTGGGCAAGGAGGAACCAATATTTGGGCCCTGCCTCCTATCTCTCTGAATCTCTTGTTCCTCAGTTGACAAAAAGGACAGCTCCAGAAAAAAAGAAAAATAAAGAAAAAATGAAAAAACCAAAAAACTGAAAACCAAACTGGCAAAAAAAAAAAAAAGAACAGTCCTTTCCTTGCCCAGTTTCCTCATCTAATGCAAGGTTCAAAGGAGATAATGCATGTAAAAATAAGTGACTGCTGGTCGGGTGTGGTGGTTCACACAAGCAATCCCAGCACTTTGGGAGGCTGAGGCAGGCAGAATACCTGAGGGTCAGGAGTTTGAGACCAGCCTGGCCAACATGGTGAAACCCCATCTCTACTAAAAATACAAAATTTAGCTGGATGTGTTGGCACATGCCTGGAATCCCAGCTACTCAGGAGGCTGAGGCAGGAGAATTGCTTGAACTCAGGAGGCAGAGGTTGTGGTGAGCCGAGATCTTGCTGCTGCACTCCAGACTGAGTGACAGAGTGAGATTCCATCTCAAAAAAAAAAAAAGAAAAGAACTGACTGCCATCTGAACACAGAGTGGCATTGCTCTAGAGTTATTCAGTACAATGATAAAGGAAGAAGGTATCCTGATTGCAACAACCCTATCCCCACTTCTTTACATCCCACATGCACACATATAGGTTTAAACTGGTTAAAATGAGTATATAATCATGCTCCACTTTTTTTCTCTTTATTTTTTCCAGGAACACTATGGTATTTCTGTTTGCTAATGAGTAATTGCTGCAAATGATGTCAATGACCCCTGTGCCAGAGGCCATGGTCATGGAGCTATTGCCCTATTGTAGGACAGAGAGGTTGTTGGCTTTTCTGGCCAGTCTGTCATCTTTATTTCAAAAATCTTTTTCAATGTGTTAGTAGTGTACTTCTCTTGTCTAAGGAAGCATATTAAGCCTAACAGAAATCCTGTTTGTTGACACAGCATCATACAGGGTCTTTGCACTGATCAATACTCATGATTTTCAGGCACACTAAAGATATCCTGAGAAATAAGCAAGGACAGGAAAGAGATAGGACAGTACGTCACATTTGGAAAAGTTAGGGGACAGGAGCACCTGGCCAGGAGAAGGAAAGCACCTGAGAGGAGGGAGGGAGAGGAGGGAATGCACATGTGTGTGGAGTGGGAGAGGTGCAGAGGGAATAGTTTTCAAATACTCAAGGGGATAACACATAAGAAAGTATTACTGGGCCAGTAGCAGTGGCTTATGCCTGTAATCCCATCACTTTGGGAGGCTGAGGTGGGTGGTTTATCTGAGGTCAGGAGTTCAAGACCAGCCTGATCAAACTGGTGAAATCTTGTCTCTACCAAAAATACAAAAATTAGCTGGGCATGGTGGCGCACACCTGTAACCCCAGCTACTCAGGAGGCTGAGACAGGAGAATGGCTTGTACCCGGGAGGCGGAGATTGCAGTGAGCAGACATTGTGCCACTGCACTCCAGCCTGGGCAACAAGAGCGAGACTCTGTCTCAAAAAAAAAAAAAAAAAAGGAAAGAGGAAAGTATTACTGTATAATATACAGCTCTAGGAAGCAACGTTACAATTAAGAAATGATTTTCTTATGATCTATACTGAATAAAGACTGAGTACAATCATCCTTCAGTATCCGGGGGTAATTGGTTCCAGAACCCTCTCAGATACCAATATCTATGGGTGCTCAAGTCCATGATATAAAATGGCATACTGTTTGCCTATATCCTACACACATCCTCTTACACTTTAAATCATCTCCAAATTATTTAGAATACCCAATACAATGTAAGTGCTATATACATTATTGCTATCCTATAGTTTATTTGTATTATTTTAAATTGTTGTACTGTTATTTTTTGTTGTTTTGTTCCCTGGCTCAAACCATCTTCCCACCTCAGCCTCCCAAGTAACTGGGACTACAGGTGTGTGCTACCACACATGGCGTAGGTGGGGTCTCACTGTGTGGCCGGGCTGGTCTTGAACTCTTGGGTTCAAGCAATCCTGCTGCCTTTGCCTCCCAAAGTCCTGGGATCCAAATATTTTTGATCAGTGCTTGAATCTGTGGACGTGGAACCAGTGGAGACGGAGGGCCAACTGTATACAACTTAATATGTTGTCCCTGGAGGTGTTTAAGCAGAGATTGAATGGATCTGGCAGCAGATAAGAATTGGGCTACATGTTCTCAACAGACATTTCCCACTCTGAAGTCCCTCTGATGCAATGACCCTGTGTCAATTCCCGGAGCCTGGATTTGTTTGTTTCATAAATTCTCAGGAAAAAAAAAAGTCTGTTTTCCTACTCCTTTCCTCCTCATCTTAAGAGCCAGAAAGAAAAAAAAGTCTAATGAATTTACCGTTAAGTTTTCTGGTTCAGCTCCAATTAACTGAAGTTTACTAACAATCAGGGCTACCTTCTCTCAAAAGGACACAATGGTCCAAACAGAAAGTCCGGGCACAAGTGTTTCTAGACTTAAAAAGAACCACTCCTTTCCCAGCTAGTAGAAGGTTCAGAAACCTTTCCTGATTAACATGTGACATAGCCTCTTCTAAACTAGTTACTGGCATCAACTTATTAAAAAAAAAAAAAAAAAAAAAAGGAAGGCAATAGAAACCACTGGCCTTCACTCCTGACAGTCCATGAGCCAATGTAAGAATAAATGGCAATGCAGTCACGGCAATTTCCTCATTTTGTGTGTGACCTCTACCCATTATCAACACTGACAAATTATGGAAGGCAACTGCACACATACATCACACACAAAGTAGCTCTTCCAGATACACACATCATCAATAACAATTACATTTACACAGGGCTTTGCAAAATTAGGATGTGATCAGTAATTTATTTTCCTTCAGTAGTTAGGAAAACAGTGGCATCCGTCCAGAATTTTTGCGGGCAATCACAGGGTGTCTTAAGAAAATGACACAATTTGCAAATATCCAGATGGTAATTGGGCCTTCCAGTGACTGGTTTACACAGAAGGCTGGTGGTTAATATAGATAAGCAAAATGACTAACAGAACTAACGGTGTCACCTCTACAGAGCTGAGCATGCAGAAATCAGCCAAAGAACAGCTCCTTGGTCTTGAGAGAAACAAAACGAAAATTACTGAAACCCTCTCAAATGGGGGCTTGCAAATCCCACTCCTGTGGATTACAGCTATTCTATGAAGTGGGCTGCCAGAAGCATTGACTAACGGTGAGGTTTCCTACCCAGGCACTTAGGAAAAAAATGGACCTTTGAGCATCAGGCAATTTGCTGGGGCAGGCAGGTTCATCCTTCATGTGTTATGTGGTGAGAAGACCAATGATTTAGTCACTTAGAGGCAATGTGATGTGGTTAGGAAAGTACAGACTTCAGGGTCAACCGGGTTTTTAGTCTCATCTCCTTGACCTAGTAGCAAAGCCATCCTCGGAAAGCCACTACCCTGTTCTGAGCCCCAGTTTCTTCTTCTATAAAAGGGAGCATTAATACCAACCTCACAGGATTATTACGATGATTAAAACAAAGGACTTTCAGTAAAGCCCCTAATGCACTGCTGTGTGTAAAACAGCATTCAGGAAATTAGGCTGGTGATCATGATGTTTCTTTTTCCTTTTTTTTTTTTTTTTCCTGATGGTGTCGTGCTCTGTCACCCAGGCTAGAGTGCAGTGGGGTGACCTTGGCTCACTGCAACCTCCACCTCCTGGGTTCAAGTGATTCTCCTGCTTCAGCTTCCCGAGTAGCTGGGATTACAGGCACCCAGCTAATTTTTGTATTTTTAGTAGAGATGGGGTTTCACCATCTTGGCCAGGCTGGCCTCAAACTCCTGACTTCATGATCTACCCGCCTTGGCCTCCCAAAGTATTGGGATTACAGGCGTGAGCCACTGCACCCAGTTGATCATGATGTTTCCTTTTTCTTTTCTTTTTTTTTTGTTTTTTGAGACAGAGTCTTACTCTGTCACCCAGGGTGGAGTGCAATGGCACAAACTCAGCTCACTGCAACCTCCGCCTCCCAGGTTCAAGCAATTCTCCTGCCTCAGACTCCTGAGTAGCAGGGACTACAGGTGTGTGCCACCATGCCTGGCTAATTTGTTTTTTTGTACTTTTAGTAGAGACGGGGTTGCACCATGTTAGCCAGGATGGCCTCGATCTCCTAAACTTGTGATCTGCCCACCTTGGCCTCCCATAGTGCTGGGATTATAGGTGTAAGCCACCGTGCCTGGCTGCCAATTATCATGTTTCTTAAAATCATTTTAAGAATCTTTTTTGAGATGCAAAGATCTTAATGATAATGACATTTTTTGAGCACTTACTACATGCTAGGCTCTATGGTTTAGGACTGCATATGAATTACCTCATTTGATCATT